TTTTTTGCTTGGTTTTAAAATACTACCCATATGTTTTCTAGTGAAACGTTCTTTGTTCCCTACTTGACCTCCAGGTGTCTTTCCTTCTGTTTGTTTCTCTCTTTAACTCCAGATATTTCAAAATTGGGGTGGGGAAGGACTTAGAAATAATTTCATAGAATTATTCAGGACAGTTGGCACTAAAGCAGAAAACTGAGGTCATTGTATATTAGGGAACAAAGCAGATAGCCAAAAGTAGAAACTTACGGTTTACTGGCTCTGAGCCGAGCATGAAATTCTGTGTATCATTTCAGTTTTGTGTTTGTCTTATGAATGAATGAAGTTATCCTGTTGGATTTCAAGCATAATAGATCTGAATAATAATTAGCAAATGTTCGTTTTCCTAGGTCGTGGTATTTATTCCAATATGCTGGGATTCCTTGGTGGAGTCTCCTGGGCAATGCTGGTTGCCAGAACTTGTCAACTGTACCCAAATGCAGCAGCTTCAACTTTAGTTCACAAGTTTTTTTTAGTTTTTTCAAAATGGTAAGCATATATACTTTAACTAATTGCTGACTTCTATGAATATGTAAATTCTTTGAAAGTTTAAGAACTATAGCCAGGCATAGTAGCTTATGCCTATAATCCTAGCCTGTGAGAGCTTTAGGTAAGAATAGTGCCATGAGTTTGCAGGTAGCCTGGGCTCCACAGTCTGTTCTGGTCCTGGCTATAGAGAGACCAGAGTCTGTTTCAAGAGAAACAGGCCTCTGTAGAGATATTTTTGTTTGTTTGTATTCATTAAAAGCGTTATAATGTATTTAATCTGAGACAGTAGGGCGTCCAGATGACACTGTTCCTTTTTATTATTACTAAGTTATTTATTTACTTCACATCCCAATTGCACACTCCCCTCCTCTCATGTCCCTTCTTCCCACCTCCATTTCTCCTCCTTTCTCCTTGGAAAACAGCAGGCCTCTTATTGATATCAGCCATGACACCAAGTTGTAATAAAACTTGGCACCTCTTCTCTAAGGCTAGATGAGGCAGAACAGTTCCTGGAGCGGGATCCAGAGGCAGCAGTCAGGGACAGCCCCTGCTCCCACTGTTAGAAGTCCCCCATGAAGACCAGTCTATACCTCTCTTATACATGTGCCGAGGGCTGAGGTCTGTTCCACACTTGCTCTCTGGCAATCAGTGCTTTTAGCCCTAGTCTCCTTTTCAAATAACTCACTAAAGTGGCACTTAAGGAGCTTGTGACCCTGAGCCTTATCTCAGAGAGTAACATCCCCATAGATTTTGGCTTTGTACATTAAGCTTGCCTAGAAAGATGGAGATGATAATCATAGCTGCTTCGTTCATATGCTAATGTTAGTTATTGCTGTTACTATATCACCAGAGTCCAGGCTGTGAAAGCAAATGAAAAGGTACAAATTGTTCCTAACTAACAAAGGACTAGTTGCCGTTTCTGAGGGAGAGCAAATAAGCAGTCTTCCTCTTGTACTTTGTATGTTGTCATGTGAAGATTGGAACCGTTTAATACTTTTCATATTTCATATAGCATCTGAAGTGAGAGTGTATGTGAGTTAATTTACTTTATTAATGTTAGGGAATGGCCAAACCCTGTGCTGTTGAAGCAACCAGAAGAAAGCAACTTGAATCTGCCTGTCTGGGATCCTCGGGTATGAGAATTTATTATGGCATTTTATCCAACCATTTCGGAGTAGCTTTCTCTAAATTGTAGTCTTATTAGGCCACGCCTCTTCTTCACACACAGCTCTTGAGCAGCAACAGCTCTTTTCTTCCCTTGCTGTGCATTTTGAGACAGGTGATTTGAATTTCTAATGCTGAGCCAAACGTTGTGTCATTAAAAATTACCCATATATGACCAGATAAGTAGGTGTATCAAAACTAGTATCATAACCCATTGTAAACAAACTGTCTTACAAGTAGTTGCTTATAATAAACTACTGAGATAGATAAAAGTAATACTTTGCAATACAGTTTAAGCCATATTCATAATTCTCACGTAGCTTCCATTTAATTTTTAAATTCCAGTTTAATAAGAGTAGGCACTCATTTCTATATAAATTCAATGATAGTGTCTTTATAGTTTTATTTAGCTCATGCTGAAAAACTTGCTTATGAGATGCATCATTTGATATCTTCCCTGAGGAGAAATTAACCTCTGCAGAGTTTTGACAGACATCTAACTTTAGGAAGAAAATGCAGTTCAGAAGAGAAATATACTTCCTAGGATTGAAGGAATTTAGTATTAAATTTATATTCCATATTCTTCAGACTTTGAGGGAAATAAGGTGAGGACTACTGAGTAGGAGAAAGGTAATTATTCTGATCTAATTTCACAGGTAAATCCATCAGATAGGTATCATCTTATGCCCATAATCACCCCTGCCTATCCACAGCAGAACTCCACATACAACGTGTCCACGTCAACTCGAACAGTGATGGTAGAAGAGTTCAAACAAGGTAAATGTGTCTGGCCCCGTTGTCCCTTACAGAGTCGTTACAGTTACAGTGTTACTCTGTATTGTAGCTATTGATTGCCAATTAGAATTCTGTAATCCTTAATTTTTGGTTAGAACTTCAGATGCTTTCCAAAATACATAATATTAAGGACAAAATTTGAATCAGTCTAATATAGTGAAATTTAACTTTTATGTTCTAAGAAACAGCATAGTTGGTTTACATTTTCTAAGTCAAGCATTTGCTGGGTTAGATGGTTTGGGTAGAATGATACAAGAGCTGGTCACTTTTCAAAATTAGACTTAGCTTCTTAAAACTCTTTGTTTTTGTTTTTGTGTAGGTCTTGCGGTTACAGATGAAATTCTTCAAGGGAAATCAGATTGGTCCAAACTATTAGAGCCACCAAATTTCTTTCAAAAATACAGGTGTTTAAACTTTTATAACCTTTGTATATGTGTATCCAGGAAAAATGTCAATTTTTTTGGTCTTGTTTTTTTTTTTTGTTTGTTTGCTTTACATTTTTTATTTTTAAGAGGGCTAGATTGTGTATGACTGTGAGCATGCATGCCAGAGTATTCATGTGGAGGACAGAGGACAACGTGCAGGAGTTAGAGCTGCCTTCTGTAGAGTGTATGGGTCTTAGGGATCAAACGTAAGCCATCAGGCCTGGTGACAAGTGCCTTTACGTACTAAAACCATTTGCTGGACCCTTATTTGTTTTATGAGACAGTTCCTCACTCTGCGTTCCAGGCTCACTCTGTGCTCACTCACTATGTAACCTAACCTAGGTTAGCCTGGAACTTACAGTGATTCTCCTACCTCAGCCTCATGAATAGTAGAGTTCATGTCTAATAAGAATTGAAATGTAGAAAGCTAATTATGATGGATGACAGGTGTTACTCAGATTTCGTAAGTAAGGTAGATACTAGGCTAATAGGCATCTTAAGTGGTAAGGGCCCCCTCATTCTGCTGATAGCTAGTCTAGCATCACTGAGTACGTGAGTTGCTTTTAACTGTAGGGCGTATAGTTTTGTGAGTGATCTATAACTTTCAGAAACTGTGTACTTGTACAGTTTTGTTCCTTGAGAAGAAGAATAAAAACAGGTAAAAAAATCAAACTAACCATGTTTCTGCCTTTTTTTTCCCTCTGATTATTGCTGCAAATTCTTTATAGACATTATATAGTATTGACTGCCAGTGCATCAACGGAAGAAAATCACCTAGAATGGTAAGACTTACGTTTCCAGTTCTCTTATCTATTGATGACAATAGTTCTATGGCACTTTACTGTTTATAAAATAGTGTCTTGCTTGGCTTTCAAAACTCGTACATTTTATTGGTGACTGATGTACATGATGAAGCATAGGGACAGAGAAAGGTCTTTGAGTTCAGCACCAGCAGTGATAGAAGGCCATGGAAATATTTCATTTGGTATTTTTTAGAGTCAGATGTAAGCAAATTTTTAAGGTAGTCTAGATGTTTCTGACACCCATCTGCAGCTGACTATTGTTGTCCCCCACCACACCTGAAAGGGAAGACGCTTTACGTATCTTTTTAATCTAGGTGGTGGTGGACAAGTGTCAGGGTTTAAAGCTTCTGACAGTGGACAGTTTTGGTCAAGCTGCAGTTTATCTTCTCATGCATATGAAGTCATCCTCTCTGCCTGCAGTATATTCACATTCCTGGTCTGTGGGGCAGGTGTGCTACCAGTGATTTCTTCCAGTCTGACCTGTTGCTTCAAGGGTTTTTACTTCTCTGGTAATTAATTTTTCTATTGATGCAGTATTTAATTTGTCTAGATGAAGAGACAGAAATCTACAGCCAATGGCAAATTCAGTCTGCCGCTTGTAATGAGATGTTACGGGTACACATTAATATGTTACTGAACGCTACTCTTTGTTACATAGCAAAGTAAACAGTTGCAGAGACTATACAACTCAAAAGCCTAAAAGCTTAAGTACCAAACACAGTTTGTCACTTAATAGAAAAAGTTTCCTTCTCATTTGGATGACAGCACTGCAGCAACTCAGATTTTCGTGCATCTACTATTGAAACACAATATAATGTCAGCTTATATAACTGAAAATATTTGAAAGTATTCTTGAAATTATCTTGTCTTAGAGTCACTAATAAATACATATCTGACAGTCATATATCTTAAGCGAGAAAATGCAAAATCCAGTATTTTGTGAAAATTAGAGTATGCTTATTTTAGGAATTATGTGCCTACTTTAGCTTTTCTTGTTCATATGATTTAAAGATAGCTTAGCCTTAGGGTGTATACATAAAGATTGGAAAGTAGAAAAGATTGAAGACCACACTAATAACAGCTTTTGTTTATGCTCAAGTCCTGACTCTTAGAGCCTTAACCAAGACTGGATATTTTTATGGTCAGAAATGCATTAAAGTTAGATCAGTTCTTCTGTAAGCAGAAAGTCACTTAAATTTCGCATATTCCTGATGGAGGCCTTGTTTTATTACTGTCACTGCTATTGTGTGAGAGAGCATGCTCATGCCACAGCATGCATCCGATCTCATGAGGCCCACCTCCACAAGGGCTTTGTCCTTCCGCTGTGACTTCCAGGGCTCAAGGCTGAGTTGTCAGGCTTGCCTGGCAAACACTTTGACCTGTTGAGCCACACTGCCGCCCCTTCTGTTATTTTTAAAATCCCTGCTATAATTGGACTACGTTTTTAAGAGAACACACAAAGCTTCATAGTTGATATATTACTTGGTTTACTTGAGTTGTCAAATTTAATATGACTTCATAGAAATCTTGTTGCATCTCAGGGTTGGATTAGTAGAATCTAAAATCCGTGTACTTGTTGGAAACTTGGAACGGAATGAATTTATTACTCTTGCCCATGTGAATCCCCAGTCATTCCCAGGAAATAAGGAACATCATAAAGCGTAAGTTGTCCCTAAATAAATTTCTTAGATAATGTTAATTGACATATGCATTGTTTCAGATGAGTTAAAGACTCCGTAGCAGACAGTGATGTATGTTTGACTGTGAGTGGCCATGTGCTTACTATTATATAAGTAGTCAGTAAACCTTAGCAAAATTGTGGAACATCTTTTAAATGGTCAATGAGCCATTCTTCAGTACAATTTAATTTTCTTTTCAAACAATACTAAGCAGCTACACCAGAGTTCTGGATATAGCTTTAAAATTTTGGTCATGTCATTGAAATGTTTAAGTAACTAGAGAAATAAAACTAGAGAAATAAAAACTAAGTTTAATTGTGCAGTAGCATTTGTTAGATTGAAAAAAATTAATGGAATTTGAAATTTTTACTTTATAGCAACAATTACGTATCAATGTGGTTCCTCGGGATAATTTTTCGGAGAGTAGAAAATGCAGAGAGTGTTAACATAGACTTGACATATGATATACAGTCATTTACTGATACAGGTAAGACTTTGCATTCTCAACCGTGATTCTCAACCATGGCTGGGACTCAGTAGCATCTGTTTAAAGTCTAGCTGGAGATATTTTTTAATTCCCAATTTGGTTAAACTAAATGGTATTCCTACTGTAGAAATCAGAGCTGCTCTTTAGAAAAAGGAGAAGGAGTGATGAAGCAATTTCCAGTTTCTACTAATAAGGGCGTTGTAGAATACTGAACAGAGGGTCCTTACCATTTATGTAAAAAGAGACAGACTTACAAATGGAGAGCATATCTCGCACTGCGGCTGCTGCTTAGTCTGGGAACCGCTCAGTGTGCCCAGGGGCAGGAGTGAGAAGAAGCCCTGAATACTCCTGAGTCACTTAAATTTTGTACCATCTTAAGAGATTTTCTGTTTCAAAATAAAACTTAATTTCACAGGTAACTTTCTTGTATGTAGAGCCAGAGTTTATAAAAGTGATTTTATTTTTTACGTTTTCATGTTAAATAATTATCAGTGGATACAGAGTTGCTGAATGTTTCAAGAGCAATAGAAAAAAATTGTCCTTCATAACTAGCCCAGCCTCGTCTCTCTGGAGCACCTGTTATAAATTGGGCTCTTGTTGATCTGAGGTAGTATGCAGATTCATGGTGTTATTCTTGGCACGTCCGAGTTTTCTAAATTCTTTCTGCTAGCTCTTTTTATCATGGTAATGTAGATTCCCATGCCTCACCTTAAAAACCACTAAATCACATTTTGAGGAAGGAACCAGAGAATCTTTAATTTGAACAAGTACTCCTGATAATCATAAACAATCCAGGATGAAATTATGAATATAATTAAGGATTAGACGTCTGAAAAAGAAGAAAGCGGAGATACTCTGTTTAGTAGATTTTTAAAGTAATCTTTTCTACACGTAGGCATGGCAGGTTCCACAGTATTAAATAATATGCCACATTTCATAGTATTTGCAGTGCAAAACAACCCTCCTGTCCCTGTCTTCAGTGGCCTTAAATTCTTATTGGCTAAACACAAAATAGCTTAATTTGTCTGATAATACAAGTGGTCCTCACAAGTTATGGAAAGCACTAGAACAGAAATCTAGAGCCATATGTCTTGTGATGCCAGGCTTTCCGAGACAGATTTTGCCACCTAGACCCTTGCAGGTGGCCTCTGAACTCTCATGTTCTGTATTTAATGTAGGCTATGGTAATAAAAGTCTCAGCGTAGAAGGAAAACCTGAACTGCATTTTGGATATTTGATATAAGATTATCTTAGGGAGCTCAAGGTTCGACTTAGAGGTTCAGCATTCTGGCTGCTTTCCCAAGGGCCTAAGGCTTGGTTCTGCAGCACCCACATGGAGGCTCATTACTGTCTGTAACTTCAGTCCCAGGGAATCCAATACTCTCTTCTGACCTCCACAGGCACCAGACAATGACGTAGCGCATGCGCGCGCGCGCGCATACACACACACACACACACACACATTAAAATGAAAAAGAATTACCTTAGACTCAGACAAGTAATTATGAACAGAGATTTGTGAGAGAAAAAAAAAATTGGTGCTTATTTATTTTGTTAATGAGGGTTGATTATAGGAAATCTTTCAGAAGATACACCCATAGAATCAGTTGATCCTGATAGTGTTGTGACACAGTGGAAGTATTTTATAAGTGTCTGCTCCCATAAGAGGGTGGGTGCAGTGGGCATTAGGAGGCCTATACATTTCAGAAAAGGAAAATGGTTTGTGGTTCAGAAAGAAATCCCCCGTTAACATATTAACATTGTTACAGTGTACAGGCAGGCAAACAATATAAATATGCTCAAGGATGGAATGAAAATTGAAGCAACTCACGTAAAGAAAAAACAGCTTCATCATTACCTGCCAGCAGAGATCCTTCAGAAGAAGAAGAAGGTGGGTCCATAATCCTAACTCCCCAGCACGGGTCTACTGAGACAGTTGGTCTTGAGACCAGATTTAAACTTTACAACTTGGCCAAACCTATTTGAAAAGAGAGTGTAGACGGCCTGAAATCTCACCTTATCACAGAGATAACTTGAGCTTCAGAATTGAAGGTAGTCTTACATTCTCCTTTGCTTTTGCAGTCCTAACAGCTTTTTCTCATTTGGCAGAGTCTTTCTGATGTAAGTCGGAGCTCAGGTGGCCTTCAGTCCAGAAGACCCTCTCTGGACAGCAATTGTCTGGACAGCTCCAGAGACACTGACAGTGGAACACCTGTTAACTCTCCGGTGTCTACAAATAAGCAGGCCAACCCAGACAGCCCCACAGGAGAAGCAGAGAGGTGAGGTGGGGGTCGGAGCTGTCCTCTCCTTCTGTTTATTGCAGGGTGAGGGGTTTTATTTCATTGTTTAGTTTTTCTCTTGCTAGTAGTGTCTTGTTTAGTACTACTCAGCAATTGCTATGCTGCTGTAGGAGTTACAGGACTAAGGGCCTGTGGAATTGTGCAGTACAAATGAATGTACAGATTATCTACCTAGATTTCTCCCTTGGTTTTCATTGTGTTCCCTGACTTTCGCTGCGCTTCTAGTGAGTAAGGTTGAAATGCTAGAGAGAAGTAATGTTAAAGTGTTAACAGTGAGAGCTTTAAAATGCATATAGTGACATAAATTAATAAGGATAATTTTACACTTTTCCCAGGAGCGGTGCTGAGCCCGCGGCTGTGCTTGTGGAGAAGCTGCCCAGTGTTCCCCCAGCTCAGGGGCTGTCGATTCCAGTCATCGGGGCAAGTCAGTGTCTGTCCTTCTGCCGTTAACAATTCTACTACACAAAAAAATATGTGATTATTCAAACTGTTTTTGTCTTTTCAGAGGTTGACCCGACAGTGAAAGCTGTGTCCGCCCCAGCTGTGTGCACTATTCCTACTGTGGTAGGACGGAACGTTATTCCTAGAATCACAACACCCCACAGCCCTGCCCAGGGTCAGCCACATGTAAATGGAATATCGAATATCAGTAAGAACATAACACCCAAAAGATCCCATTCGCCGCCGACAGATGGGACTTCTAAGAGGTTAAAAGACATAGAAAAGGTAACCTAACGGCTTTAGTAGTGACCACTTGTTTTGTTTTAAGTTAAAATTATAGAAAAGAAGCTGACGGTTGTCCTTAACTATGTAAACTGTCCATTGGGAGTTGTTCTATTTGAAAGGATATTTCAGACCCTTAAGGAACCATAGTTGTTGTTCATCTTAAATTCAAATTACTGAGGTCTGAGAGTTTGGTCAATTGGTCTAAGTTTCCTGATTTACACAGAAGCTAAGGAGCCCAGGGGTAATTGTTCCATTTCTTCTGTTACGTGAATCTTCTCTGCTTCCAGCAGATGGTGATAAAATATGTCTTGTTAGACTCTGGATTGATTTAACCAGAGAGATCACTGAAGCTGCAAACATTAAAGGTAGCAGGTGAATTAAGTCTGATTTTAGGTAGAGTGAGTTGGAGTCTTTAAATTGTAGTGTTTGGTGAAAGATTGATTAGTTTGCTGGTTTATATCGGTTCGTATGGTCTTTGCTGATACACAGTAGCAACTCATTTTTATTGTTTATATTTTAGTTTATTCGACTTGAATCAGCATTTAAGGACTCCCGTGCTGCCGAGGATAGGAAAAGAAAACCAATGGTAAATGTTAATATTAACTTAGAATATGACCTTAAAGAGCAATAAATGTGAAAAGTACCATAGAATACTTCAGAGTCTTCAGTTTTTGGTTATGATTTATTTTAAGTAGGAATAATGTTGTATACAGAAAACAAATTTAAACTTGTATCTTTAATTCTTCTATTTTTAGGATGCAGCTGGTGGAGAATCTATGCCCATTCCAACTATTGATACATCACGCAAAAAGGTAATAGATGATAGGTAATAGCTCTGTGGGTAAAAACAAGCACAAAAATTTTTAAGAAACTGAAACTAAGGCAGGCACAGTGGCACACCTTCAGTCCCCGCACTTGGGAGGCAGAGGCAAGTGGAGCTCTGTGAGTTTGAGGCCAGCCTGGTCTTCAAGCAAGTCCTGGGCAGCCAGGGCTACACAGAGAAACCCTGTCTCAAAAAACAAACAAACAAAAACCCAAAACTAGGACCCATGATGTCCAATAAAATTGTCATTAGAGCCTTGGAAGTCCTTGCAGATGAGCTTGACCAGCAGGGATACTGAGGTGCCCAAGAGCCCCCCACAGAAACAGCAGAAGAGGAGAGAAAATCAAGAGAGAAAGCAATTCTGAAGAAGAAAGGGAGGAGAGCAGTTAATGGTGGTACAGACCGAGCTATCCACTATATCAGGTGCCGGAGGAGAACAGTCTCACAGCAGCAGAGGATGTGGGAGAAGAGGAGGAAGCGAACATTCGCAGCGCCCAGGCCTGTGTTGAAAGTGCTAAAGAACAATGCATTCAACAAGGCCATGCTTGCAGTATCATGAGGCACACTGAGACAGAGCTGTCCGAGCAGTCCAGTGCAAGCGACGAGTCACCGTGACATCATCGCTCCGTGTCTAACACCCTCTCAGAGCTTGTGGAGACTGATGTCTGAGCATTGTAAACCAAACTCTGCAAGCATGCTCTCTGCCATCTTAGCAGCACCAGTGACAGAAGTAGTTTTTACAGAGGCTGCAACAGAAACACCAAAGAGGTCCATCTGAAGATGGATGGTGGTCACTTCAGCCACCACTTCAGATGGATGGGGTTACTTCTGTAGACACTTCCAAGTGGAGACCCAGCTAACAGCCATCTTCAGAGTCGTCCTCACACTGCTGCCACATCTGTGCGTTCCCCACTCTGGCTGACTGTTTAAAAAAGTTCCCCAAGAGCAAAAAAGCACTTAAAATGAATAGGGCGAGGGGAAGGAGATGAGCACATGGTTGAATGTTAGATGTGTAAGGGGTTTGGAGAAAAGTCCATCAAGGGTTCTGTGCTTCATTTATTAGATGAGCCATTATGTGTGTGTCTGTGTCTCTGTGTGTGTACATAAATACACACTTTTTTTTTTTTGTTCCTTTTTCTTTCTGATAGAGACTACCTAGTAAAGAACTGCCAGATTCATCATCTCCAGTTCCAGCAAGCAACATCCGTGTCATCAAAAACTCCATCCGACTGACCCTTAATCGGTAATAGCAGAGCCTCTTCACTTAGGTGAGCTGCAGTCATACAGTGGCACAGATGGCAGCCAGTCTCCAAATAGAGATAGCTGCCATCCACACAGGGGACAGTCACAGTCACCAGCCTGATGACCCTGCAGTGGTTTTTGAACACTCACTTGGACCTTGAGATGCTGTAGTGTTCACTCACTGAGTGCTACGCACACTCTGAGGACTGCCTGCTAGTAACATCACCTACAGTATTGTGGCTTTGCATTTTGAGGTTTTACTGCCTTAACTTCTGATGTTTGTTTCTCTGTCGTGGGAACCAGTTCTTCGCCACTTGGACGCTGATAAAACAGAACTGTTTTTGGTTTTGTTTTGTTTTTTTTCCTTCCTTTTTTTTTTTTTTTATTTAAGTCTTATGTTGTAATCATTGTATAGAGCTGAAAAAGTTAAAAACAAAAAAAAAAAAACTGTCTTGTAATTTTCTAAATGTTTGTGTTTACTTTAGCACTGAAGCTACTTTGTGAAACCCGAGATTAATGAATGTGAGATATCTTTTCTGCTTCCTTCATTTGTGTAGATATCTATTTTGTTGATTTAAATTATTTTGTCCAGATTGGCACATAAATATTTAAACTATTTTTTGTGCTTTTGTCCAGATGTTGCATAGTTACCAGGGAGGGTTAGTCCAGTGACTACACGAGAGTTGGGCACCAGAAATGTTTTGCCTCCCATGGAGGTCTTCAAAATGCATCTTTATTAAAAATCAAACTATAACCAGGATACTGAAAGTCAGTATGTGAATGGTGAAATTGTTACATATCTTACTATCTCATGACATTCTTGTTAGTTGATTGGTATTTTTACAGAGGAGGAGTTCATTCCACCACCAACGATAAGATACCTTTAAGTATAGCAGACTTGTATTTTTGAAGTATAAACTTAACTCAGCATGATAATCCTTCACCATAACTTCTTACAGTCTCCAACAGTTTCTTCATGGATTAGGCATGCAGAAATAAGCAGTGGATTTTATTGAAACCTCAAGGCATTTTTGAATGACATTGTTACCAACCATTAATTGGCTCAGGACCTTTGTAGTTTTTATTTAACTATATGAGTTGTCTTTTTTTACACTGCTTTTTCAGTGCATTTCTTAATATTTTTTAAGTTTCATGAATGCATGCTCAGTTTATTAAAAATCCACAACCATGTAATTCTTGTAATCTGTTGACTCCGTGTTTTGTAAATGAAGCCGTATGTATTTTCAGAGTATTTTTGTATGTACTGTAAGATATCATCTTTTCAAAGAGAAACTTTAAAAACTTTACTGTCTGTCTTTAATTTTTTTAAAAAATATACTTGATATATTTAAAATGGAACACAGAAGCATATCTAGGAATGTTGTACATATCACCTTCAGCATTCACTTGGTGCACAGTAGGTCCAGAAGCAGGCGAGTACCTTGACTAGTGCAGGGAAATAAGCTGGCTGTGTGTTCATAGGACACATGGGAAGCCATATAGTCAATGCGGAAATAGCAACCCATTTTCACTTACTTTAAATTCTTAAGTTTAGACTGGAAGACTGCTGTATACTACTCCCTCGCCCATACTGATCCATAGCTTCTGAAAGGCAGGTTCTAGTGTTTAATGTATATAAAGGAAAAATGAAAAAAAAAATTGCTAAAAGTAAAGAGCAAGGGTTGCAAAAAGGATTGTTCTGCTATTCACATTCTGTATCAGAGGGACAGGAGGAGTTGTGGCTTCCTTGGCAAAGCCATTTTCAGAGTTTAACCTTTTCATGGATTTACATGTTTGGGATTTGTTTGTCAAATACTCTTGAGAGCAGAAATGAATGCTTCTGAGTGGATTGTCATGTGACCTTGAACCTAGAAACATGATATGATGGGGGAATCTAGTTAAATCTTGGGTCCTAGAAAGAGCAAGCCTAGCCCTGGAACTATAGTAGCTTTTTTCTTAGGCTAAGGGTCTATTCAGCATGGTCAATGGTTCAGTACCAGAATCTAAAAAAGGACTTCATCAGCTAGTCTGGCATCTGAGGAATTAAGTAGATGGGTTTTGATATGGCAGATTTATTCAAAAGTTAAAGTGCATCCTGTCCTGACCCATAGGGGAGACTTTCCATGCATTTTATTGCCATTGTAGGGGAAGTCCGTTGGACTGTTCCAAGTAAGTAAAAAGAAAGGTACGGGATTCAATATTGTTCACTGTCTGTTTTCAAGTGTGTAACTATAGCTAGAAATATATTCTATAGCCTGCAGCCTTTAGACAAATGTTCACTTTGCTAAGGTACTGGATTTTAACCTGCTCATTTTTCAGTGACCAGCTCTGGAGACTCACAAAGCAAAACATACCTGGGAGCTTTAGCTTTGAGAATTAACCATCTGAGGTGAAAAGTACTTGTTTCAACATCTTGTAAAACTGGGGATAAGAGTAAATTTTTAAAGTTTATTGATGCTTAAATAAGACTAGTTTTGTCTGAAGACAGGCATTTGGTAGTGTTTATAAAATGCTTACTAATTAGCAATGAAGTGACAATGGACAATGTCCAATGGGCCAGCATCCCCCAAGATCTCACTTTGTAATCCCAGCTGGCCTGAAACTCACTGCACAGATGATGCTGGCGCTCACCTTCGGGTCATCCTCCCTCCTCAGCACTGCAACGGGCTTGTCTCTTGGCTTTAAGATAGGAATTTCTAGCTTGAGGGCCACGAGTACCTGAGAACCCTTTGGAATTATGTATAAGATGGATTTTGTGCATCTTTCCAGTCAAGGGAAGTTAGCTTTTATTGGTTTCTCAGAGTAGCTTGTGCCCTCAAAAAGGAGGCTGGGGGTGGGAACCACCAGGATTGAACAATCATAGAACATTTATAATTTGCTCCATTTGATTTTGCTCCATGGATATGGATTAACAATGTGCATTAAAAGGGCCTCAGAAATGCTTTATTTCTTAGGCGCTTTATATACTTTGGTTGACACTTAATATAGTTGGTATTTAGAAAAGTACTTACCATCAACTTTCCCATGTTAACTTAGATTCATTATCAATGTCACACAGTAGCTTAGAATGATCCTTAAAGATGATAGAAAAATAAAGATAAAAATTTCAGGCCAGAACACACTAAACATACCAATAAATATAAATGCTTTAGTTTTTTTACCTATATATTTTGTATGAACAAATTTATGTATAAATTAATAACTACTTAATAAATCATACAAAGCTTAGAATTTGTGCAAATGATAGAAGGAAATCGGTCTCAGTAATGACAACTATTTCCTTAGGATTTTCTAAGGGAATTATATAAGGTTCTATCCTTTCCAAGTTTTCTAGTTTGGAAATAATCTAATAATTTTGTATTTGAAGTCAATTGAACACAAGATTATCAAATTTATAAAGACTTATTTTTAGTTATGTAAGTGTGGATGTGTAATGTGCATGCGAGTGCAGTTCCAACAGAGCCCAGAAGAGGGCACCCTGAAGAACCCTTGGGGCGGAAGTAAAAGGCTGTGGTGAGCTGCCCAACCTGGGTGCTGGGAACCAAACTTAAGCCCTCAGGAAGAGCAGCAAGAACTCTTCACTGCTGAGCCATCTCTCCAGCCTCCAAATTTGCTACAATTTTAAACTACCACTGAATTTTTGAAAAGACCCATATAGAATATCTTTGATGGAAGTGGTGCTACATCAGGCCACAGTGCTCTGTAAAATGTCTGCAGCTGTTGTCCTTCCTTCTCTACATCGCTATGTGGTACATGTTAGTTTTGACTTGTTTTATAATTGTACACACGAGCTTCGTTTGTCTGGAATAAGTAATCAAATAAACTTTCTTTGACAAATAGGTGGTGGTTGATTATTTGGGAGTATTTCAGAAGTACCACAAGACTGTGGAGTTGTTTCTCAGACTGACAGTCCATTTAGTCATCACAGCTCGGCTGTTTATGGTAGAAAATGCTATCTCCTAGCTCTTTACTAGGAAAGCAAAGCTCAGACTCCCATTTGCCTCACACTCATCACTTATTAGCAATATTTATTAGCAAGCTGTAAGAGTGCAAGTCTGCTCTAAAGGAGTTCCAGCTTCCTGGCCTTTTGGATGGCCTTGTCCACAGTTGCACAAAGGGCGTCTTGTGTCAAGTGTTGAAAGAAGATGTTGTCACTCTGGTCAGCCCTGGTTGAAAACGTGTTAGTAAGCAGCCTGGGTACCAGACCAAGAGTCACAAGTTACATTAGGATTTCCTAAGTTCTTACATCTCCCTTGGTAAAGGTTGACACGTTTTAACACTTAAGTGATTCAAACTTGTGCTCGCCCTGACGCCATAGTTATGGCATTTATCACAGCAATGGAAAGCAGACTAGCACGTGGCCTTTGTGTAGAGGTTGACTGGAGGTGCACCTCAATAGAGTGCATGTCTCCCTGGCAGGAAGCCCTTAGCATGACCCTCAGCACTTCCTAAAGCAGGCCTGGTGGCACACACCTGCAGTCCTATCACCAGGGAGGCAGAAGCCCAAGGATCAGAAGTTCAAGGTCATCCTCTGCTGTATAGTTCTAGGCCAGCCTGGGCCACATCCTTGTCTCACAGGGGAAAAGCAACAGCCCTTGGTTAGAGAAAGCTAAGAGGATATTGAAGAGGAAAACACATGCATCTTTGGTTTTGGAGGGAAGCAGAGGTTTGCCTAATTTTAATACAATTACTTTGAAGAGAGACCTAATGGACTAATGCAAGAAAGCCAACAAAACAAAGTCTGTTAAAATATGTTTTCCAAACTATCACGGTAACCCTTAGAAGTATTTCTTATTGTAGGCTAATGGGTGTGTATATGATCTGTGAATATGTCTGCATATAAAATGCATGGATGTATATATAACTTCTTAGGTTTTGGCAATAGCTTTCCTTACTGTTATGACATGGGTTTTTATTCACTGTTTTTAAAGTCCTAGTTGTGCCAGGCAGTGGTGGTACACACCTTTAATCCTTTAATACTCAGGAGACAGGTAGGTGGATCTCTGAGTTTGAGGCCAGGATGGGCTACAGAGCAAGTTTCAGGACATCGAGGGCTACACAGAGAAACTCTTAGAAAACAAAAACCAAAACCAAAACCAAAGAAATCATGAAAACCAATAAGCAACAAAAATCACTAATTGGGACTTTTAATATTGTAAAGCAAGATTTGCTCATGTGAGAGCCAAACTCACTCAGAAAATCCTATTGCACCCATGTCTTATACACACGCCAGTGTGGTCCAGAAGCTAGGTTAGAGGGCACCAGCAGAAAAAGTGTTATGTCCTGGGAAATAGTCGTTCTAGACTTTAATAGTCTGTTGTAGACTGTGTTTACCGTGGGCCCTACGCTGAAAACCCTTATGATCCTATTAGGCAGCAATGTTACTTTATAAATGAGGAACCCGGGGCTTGGGGAGACAACTTGACCATCTCCAAATGCATAACTATTGGGTAGCACAGTTCAGAAATGTGGGTCAAAGCCTGAGTACTCGGCCAGATCTCCAGGGCAGAAGCTAGAGGTGTGCATCAGATCCGGTGACACTGCCGTGCCCCACGGGATCTGGAATGTTCTACCTGATCAGGAGCAATGACGGCATGCTGCGCCTGCTCTGCCGCTAAGAGCTGTGTAACTTTGATGCTTAAGGCCCGAATCCTGCCAGACAGATGTGTGCGCATGCTCATGCATGTGTGTGTGTGTGTGTGTGTGTGTCTGTGAGTGTGTATACGTGTGTATGTGCACGCATGTGTGGTGTCTGTGTTGGTGTTTATGTGAGTGCATGTGGGGGGGGGGGGAGTCAAAGGACATTAAGGAGTTGGTCCTGTTCTATTACTATGTGGGTCCCAGGGATGGAACTCAGGTCTCCAGGCTGCACCAGCTGAGCCATCTTGACAATCTTAATGAAAATAAAACACTGAACTGTGCCCCCCCCCCCCAGTAGCTCTGTTGAGAATAAGGGAGGACACGTGAGTGAATGCCTCATTTGTGGTAACGAGTGGACAGTTAGAAAAACCTAGAACTGGACAGTGTAGAGTATAAGCGTGACATTTAGAAATGATGAAGCTGAAAGGCACACCTGTAACTCTCACACCCAGAAGACAGAGGCAGGAAGATCATGAGTTCAAAGCTAGCCCAGACTCCACAGCATTATATAGACTTAGAAAACAAGTACACCTAAAATATTTACTGATAATCATAAATTTATTTTAAGCAACTCGTGGAACAGGTACAATTTCACCATTTATTAAGGATGAAAGCAAATCTGCGTGCTGATGGGATAGACATGCTTGCTTATGTTTTACATAATGAATTAGGTTCTGAAGCTTGTAGGATGGCTCAGTGGGTATAGCTCTTGCTGAACAAGTGTGAGAGCCTGAATTCAAATCCCAACAGTGCATGTCTGCAATCCCAGCACCAGAGTATTGTACAAGCTACTTAACTGCTCATGTCTCCATTTCCTCTCCTAAAAATGGTGGTCACAATAAAAGACCCTACTTCAAGAAGTAGCTCAACGAGTTAAGCAATCCAAAAGTTCCCGGCACGAGGTGGAATTCAACAAGTCGCCTTGGAGTCGAGCTACATGAAATGACATGGCACTTGATCTACAGTGGACAGTTCCTGTCCTAGAAATCCGTCCCAAGAATCAAGGGAAAGGCCAACCTCAGCTTCCCCGGCCAACCTCAGCTTCCTCGGCCAGCCTGAGCAGAGTGCCACCTCCCACGGAATGCTCTTGCCTTGTGAGAATTTTCTCTGGGAAGTGGGGTACAGGGGGCGCCTGGCCAACATCTACGTCCCCCCCTCCTCACAAAGTTCCAACGTCAGACTAGGAGTTCCCCAGGACTCACCCTGGTGAGGTGTTCATTGGACTTACTAAGAGTGATGAGTGGGACGTTACCAGCAGGCGAGACAGTGACTTTAAGGCAGCCATACTGGAGTGCTTGCAGGAACCGTGGATGACCACTCCCCGAGGCGAGGCCACGTGCATTTGGGGAGGGATTGCAAACGGCTGAGGATCCCCTGCCTCCCGGCCCCGCCCCCAATCTCTATGTGGGAACACCAATCAACAGGCTCAACTGTGACGGTCTTCTGCCAAGTAGGCACAGCTGAACTTGGGAGGATGGTGGCATTCAGCCTGCAGGATACGACCGAACACCTTGTCCCCAAGTCTTTCTCAAAACAGCCGCTGTATTTGCAGAAAAAGCATAGCACTCAGACTGACTTATTACGAAGTCCACATACAGTACAGCGGGCGAGCAGAGGCATCTCTGCCAGCCCTGCAGCGAAACAGCCTCGCTACGCTGACGTCACGTTTGGGATCCAGCTAGATCCGTCAGCAGCTCCGAGTGAGGAGAGAGCCACAGCGTAAAGCTATGCCCATACCAGGATCACCTGTATCTCCCTCCTCCCACCGCTCCTGGGCATGGGCAAGACTGTCTAACCCTGTTTCCAAGTCACTTCCTGCTAGCTTCATAGCAGTTCAAAGAACTAAGGGCAGGTTCTTTCCAAATAGGTTGGTTTCTTGAAACTCACCAAGCCAAACATCAGAAAAGTGGGGATTTCTGAACGCCACCCACTTGGATGGCAACTGGTATTTAGAAGTTTCAAATATTAAGAAAAGAAAAAAAAAATGGCCTTGATTAGGCAGTATCTAATCTCCCAGAGCACAGGAAATGAAGGCGATCGAGTCTGATTTGCAGGAGGCCCTGAGGTCGCCCAAAGCAGTGGCTCTCCAGCAAGGCCCACTCACGGCCTGCCTCCCGCCTGCCTCCAGCTGAGCACCCAGAGGGAAAGCACCATTAAACTCCCTAGAAACTCAGCAGCCAAACAGCGGCACCATGGCCAGCTAGTGAGGGGGTGGGGAGAGGGAAGCAGGGAGGGAGGGTGAGATGGGACTGAGAAGGCCATGCTGTTGGGGCCAATGGGAGCACAGCCCCCGGGCTGTTCAAACCGTGTGTGTTTGTTAGAATGCTCGGGGACCTGGCTAGTGTTGGACGGTCCAGCTGAAAGTGCGGGATGTATTTGGCTGGAAAGAGCAATCAGAGCTCCACTTTCTACGAATGCTCGAGGGGAACAGGGGCACAGGTGTGGCACATGAGGAGATGAGGCCAAGCATGGCAAAATGAGTTTTGAGAGCTTTTAGGGGGAAAGGGATAGGCTTTGCCAAGAAAATGCAAGGGAAAAAGTGAAGGGTGATACGCACCTTTCTGTCGTTCAGCAACTCTGAGAACCCCAGAGGAGGCGGGGAAGGGAGGCTTCTACCTTTACATTGCTAGTGTTTAATCGGAGCGACCTCACGCCCCCATGTGGTGACATGCGGCAGATGATGAAAAATGTTGGTTCGAGTCTCTAAGTTTCACCACTAGACAGTTATCATCCTTCCAGATTCCTGTGAAGAGGGTTCTGCTGAAGGAACTCTTGGCTGGTTGAACCTTCACTGCAAATCAAAGGGCAGTTTACCTGATTGGCCGTTTGAGGGGGGGGAAAAGCGGGGAATGAGAGTGGAGCATGCGCAGGCCTGCCTCTGGGCTTTCTCATTGGATTCCCCTGGCCACGCCCCAAGAGCCTTCTCTAGACTTGTTAGATGGGGTGGACTATTGAACAGGCCCACTTGAAGCCCACCCAAAGTCCTGGTCTCCAATCAAGCCTATTAGCAATTGAATTTGGATCTTTGCCTCCTACAAACTGAGAGGCAGGGAAGAAAAAGTTAGACTAGTGACACACACTGCCACCCCACACCCTCATACAGTCATTTGCTGTAACTTTCCCTCCCCTGCCTTCTGAGCAGGTGGCCAGGCCTGTGCTG